CCCCCCCCCCCTTCCCTTCCCGTCCCGCACGTCCCTTCCTTCCCCCTCCCCCGCCGCGCCGGGCCCGCTCCCCTCCCGCCCCGCCGCCTCTGCTTCCCCCCCCACCCTCGCACCTCCGCGGGGCTCGGCCCGGCGCCCCGCGCCCTCCGCCCGCGTCCTGGCGCGGTGTCCGGCCGGGCGCTGCCCGCGGGGGCCGCCTGCGTGCCCCGCTCCCGCCGGCCGCCGCCTCGCTGCGCTGGCGTGTGCGGCGGAGTGAGAGGCGCTGCGAGGCGCAGAGCGGGACTCGAGCTCCCTCTGCAAGGCAGGCTGAGCAGCGCCATGCAGCAGCACCGGGGCGGGCACGGCTGGGGGGCGCCCGCTCTCGCCGCGGTGACCGGCCGGCGGCCCCCCCGCGCCCCCCGCGCCGCTCCCCAGGAGCGGCGGCCCCGCCGTTCTGTGCCTTCTCCCCCCCACCCCGGCTCGGCCGGCCGCCACCACCCCACCCCGGGGTCCCCGCGGGGCTTCGGGCTGCGATCGGGAGCGCTTGGGCTGCCACCGAGCAGCTGTGTCACTTGCTGGGACCTGGCCCGGCTGCCCGACTCCCCGGGCACCTCCCCGGGAACCTCCCGGGTCCCCGCAGCCGGGCGTTTGCCCGGGGATGGAGCCCGAAATCCCATGGCCAAAGCATGGCGTTATTCCCTCCCTTCCATGGGTCTGTGCTGCTTGGGGGGGGGGGGTAGTGGGGGGGAAGCACAAAACCCGATTCTTTTTGTGATGCAGAGGAGAAAACCGCACATGCTCTGTGTCCAAACACTCGGCTTTTTGTTCTCTACATCAACTTTAGATTTCTTCAGAATATGTATTTATATGGTATCGGGTTTGGCCTTGCCTTAGCTTTGTGAAATGACTTCGATAGAAGGGTTTTGTCATGTTATGTGGATCCTTCTCCGTTCAGTGTAATCCTTAGCACTTGCCCCTTGGTAAGAATGAGCTCGCTTTCCTGTTTGTGACTTCCTATTTTTTTGCTCAGCCTTCCCCCACTTAAATACATGCATGACTGTTCCTCATCTCCTGCCAGTTACTGAATTCTGGTAATAAACTCCAGAGGTGTCATTAGAAGCATCTAAAATACTGTTTACCACTTCCAGTGTATCTGTTTTTTGTTTCAGTGCAGGAAGTGTGTAAATATTGTCTTAAGTTCTCCAGTTTATTCACCTTCTGCAGAGCCTGTTGAATTTGCAGGAGTCCATTGGGTATAAGAAATAACTCCCATGCTGTTTTCAAGCTGTTCTTACTTAAATAGTCCGTAACATGTTACTTGAGTACAGAAAACATCACTAGAACTGAAGGAAGAAGCAATTTTAGCGTAAAGGCAAAGCAGCGCTTGCTTGTTTGTTTTTTTTTTTAAGGTTGATGGGTTTTTACTTCCATTTTGTTTTTCTTCTGGATATGTAGAGCTAGCTCAGTTTTAATGTCATCTCCTATACATGAGAGGTTATTAGAATGCAGAGAATGGCTTCATTAAAATTCACGAAACTTTGTGGGATATTTTTGAGGACTAATATCCGAGCAAGAGGTGTAAAACTCGAGTTCCTGTAGCCTCCAGTGGCCTTGCAGGTGAAAATAATACAGCGAGTCTCGCCCAGTTGGGGCAGAGCTTGGGGAACTGTCACTACAGCATTAAATTTGCTGGTGCCTCGTGCCTGCAGCGTTACTGAGAGAAAGAGCTATTTCAAGAGCTGCTTTTCGTGTGAGCAGGCTGGATCTTGACTATGATCTGCAGCTAATTTGTGTGCATCCTCACCAGCTCTTGTGGCTGCAGGTTGATACCCGCCTGCTGCGCTCCCAGTGCTGTGCCTTGAGAATGCCAGAAGCCGACCTGTGTTATTCTTGTCTTTATTCAGCATTTATATGAAAAATCTAATTATATGTCATTACTGACTTGCTTAGGAATTTTTGTATAGAGCCTACTCCAGAATTTAATTTCTTCTCCTCCCCTTAGGACTTCATGTCCAAGAACTTCTGCTTTTCTAATGAAGGTTTTTGGGAGTTGGATCTTGAGCTTTATTAGGCTTATCTGCTCTTGGAGCAGGGCCAGCCTATTCCTTGATATCTCTCGTACTTCAACAGGTTCTGCATCACTTGTAACACAAAGCTGTGCAGAGCTCTGACCCTGGGTAGCTCTTCCTGCTCTGTCTGAACATTTTGTTGTACATTAGTTATTTCAGATATATTACACATAGCAATTATATTTGCATAAAAACTCCCTATTTTTCCCATCCTGGCAACTCTCCCTTCTCTTACCCCTTCTTTACCAGAGAGGGAAAGCTCAAGGGAGTAGTAGAGCTTTAGGATCACCAGTGCTGCTCCCTCCTCTGCTCATACATGCTCTAGAAATACATGTAGTAAGAGCAGCCACCACTTCTCCTGCACACAAGAGGACAGTGACTGGAGCTGAAAGAAACCAAAGCTTTGACTGGTGGTTGTTTTGTTTGTGTTCACTTACTGAACTGTACTGATTTGTTTGCTTAACTGTAAACCCCTGTTCATCCATTTGGCTCTAGTTCAGATGCCCAGTTCAGTCTTTGTTGTACTAAACCTTGAAATGTCAATACAGTATCAGGCTCTGCTGCTCTGTAACACTACGTGGTCTTAGAGACACACAGATCCAGGAAATTCCATTTTTATTTGTTATATTTAGTGTTCATAAAAATGGTTCAGAACATACATTGCTCTTGTTCTTTTAGGTTTTTTTACTGAAACTTAGAAAGAATCTTTGTCCTCTCCTGACTGTAACTGAAGATGTTGCTTTTTTTTGTGCTGAAGGATATTTGAATTTCCTTTAAAACATCCTGTTCTGAAGCTCCTCCCACTTCTCTCCAATAATCCATCATTCTTTAGGAATTGAGATATACTTATCCTAGATATATTTAATAAGAAAACTAAATAGTTGCTACTCAGCTGAGTGATCTGTTTTTTCTGATTAACAAGAACAACCTTGAAAAGAAGAGTAGAATAAACATAAGGTATGTAGGGAGTTTTATGTTTCAGGTCGTGTTAACATTCAGGTAACTGTAGACTGAACAACTCAGTTTGGGTGTCTAATGTAAATTAAAGCCAAAGTGAAGTTTTCCTCAGTATTATAAGAACTTGGAAACTGTAAAATCTAATTACTTTTCAATGTGGTTCTTAACAGGTGAAAACAGAAGTAGTGCAGAGGCAGCTCATGAGAATGGCGCAGATATCGTGCATTGGCTTAGGGGACGTCTGTGATAGAATGGACTCACGAAGAATTATTCTCTGACTGTCCCCACAGGTGAACTTTTGAGTCATTAGATACTTAGAGTTGCATTTCTTACGTAAAGGTTTGTTTTTAGAGACCCCCCCCTCAGTTGGAGCCCTCACACAGTTTGCTGTCAGCTGCCTGGATTTCAGCGTGCTGTGTGGGGTGGATACTAAGAGGTGAGGCCAGGAATGTTTGAAAACATTTACAAGCACAAGTGCAGTGGTCAGTTAGGATGTGCTGACCAGTGGCACCAGCCAGAGCTGCTGCTGGGATGGCAGCAGTGCAAGCTGTGCTACAGGGTGCTTTTTTTACACCCTGCAATACAAGTACTATGCCCAAATACATATTGTTGTGTCAGTCAGCTATCAGCACCATCTTATTTTTTTCCCATAGCTGCAAACTTAGGAAATTTCTAAAGCTTTATAGGTTTTACTGAAAAGCTTCACTCAAATGTAAAGACACTGTTAAATAAGTTCAGCTTATACTGAAAATTTTGTTTTACTTTTTTTCTCCCTGTAACATAAAAAAAAATTGTTGACATCATTGAATTTGTCAAATTCCAGCAAAACAGAAGGCAAATCACAGATTGTTTGGAGTGTGACATACACATCTGTCTATATTAATATGCATCATCATTAGAAACCTGTATGTCTCTCAAACATCATCAGGTAAGGTAACTGTCTTTAAAGTAGAGGAGAGAATAGCTTGGTCCTATTATATAAAGAAATTTATTTGCCTTAATTGGGATGTCAGAGTAACCCTTGTGCCCTCTTTCAGGTATTTAGAATTAAATAGCTCTTCTGAAATTTCTCTGTGGTGTTTGTTTTTTTAAAAAAAAAACAAACACAAGCCAAAACTTAACACAAAAGCCATCTAATCCCCCTCCCCACCAGAATACTTTGGGAGGTGAGAGAGACTTTTGCCTTGGCCAGTATATTTTTTAACCACTGGAATATCCCTAGCTGTAATATTGAAAGGAATGTTTTTTAGTCAATGCACTTTGGAACATCAGGGAAATTCCAGGAGGTTAGAGGAGTACTGATATGTCAGATCTAAAAGGAGATGGAGTGGATGAACATGGCAGGTAGTGACATGGTGCTGTGCAGAGGGCTGGCAGGTGCCCAGGTTACCTTGGGTATTTGGGTAGCTCTGTCTGTGTTAATACATATGTAGTTCACATTATTACCAGCTCTCCCTTTTATTTTTTAGTACAGAGTTCAGTTAACAAGGAGAGAAAAGTATTAATCCTAGTAAATAAAGCTTTAAGAAAACAAGAGCTTGTTAAATTTATCACTTGACTTTGTTAAAGGACTTGATGTTGAGGACCTTACTGAATATTAACATTAGTACTGAATATCAGTAAATGCCATTTAGTTCAGGATTAGTCTGAATTCAGGGGTTTACAAGAGTGAACAGTTTCCATGGATATTCAGCAAAACCTAGTAATTGCTTGTCACAATTTGTTTAGTGATTTTTGTGGGTGCAAAATGTCTCTAAAAACTTTTTCACGATAAACTTGTGGTTCAGGGAAAGTCAGTGAGCACTAAGGCAGCCACTGTGACTGTCAGGTGAAGTAGGTCCAGTCTGGTATGTGTGTCCTAAGGCTGCTGCATGTGAAGCTCTGCACCTGGGAATAAGGCATTCCAGCTGCATTTAAATCAAGACACTGGATAAACAGCATAAACATGAGTTTCCAAGGTGATGCTGTGACAGTGAACCTAATGCAGTTCTAAAATGCATTAGTGGAGTAAGTAGGGATATGTTCTTGCCTGTGTGGGGTGGGATGAAGTCATTCCCAAAACACTGTGTACCATTCTGGCCTCAGCACACACACACACAAGAAAACCCCCAACCAACTAACAACAAAAAAAAAATTAGTCTGCAAGGGGGATTCATCCCCAATTTGACAGAAAACTAAGCTGTAGTGCCATGCAGTGAAATGTTAAGAATTTACTGTGCAGGGTCTCAGCAAAACTAAGAGGTGACTTGAGAAGAGTCCTCAGATATGTCCCTGACAAGATAATACTGGATATTAGTCAGCTTGTTTTAATCTTGCTGACAAACACAACAAGAATTTGTAGCCTGATAAGTTCAAATTTAAAGATTTATGTTTTTCACAGGGAAGGTGATTAACTATTGGATTATGATATGAAGAGCAGTCCTGTATTTCTTAATCTCTTAACATCTTTGAATCAAGATTGTGGAAAAAAAAAATCTGAAAATTGCTTCAGCCTGCTGCAAGGTGCTGAACTTTTTTTGTTTCCTATACATGTAGAGATTTGTCACTCAGAAGTGGTCGGGCTTGGTGATCAAATGACAGCTGCTAAAGAAAAAGGATGAGTAGCACCTCCTCTTCTTGAACCAGCTTCCCTCTTTGAACAGAAATAGGTTTAGGACTTTTCCTTATCAATCCAGAACACGATCAAGCCAGTAAAATCTTCTGAGCAGGGGAAAGTAAGCAGATACTGATGTTTACTGTGTCAAATAATGTCTGGGCAGCTGTTGGAAGGATAAATGTTTCTTCCCTGCTGCCCGGGCCTGCTGCTGGCTCACATCCAGCTGCTGGAAGGAACCTTGGCACTGGCACTGCCGCCCAGCCAGCCAGTCCCAAACCTGTATCTCCAAAGGAGTTCTTCCTTCCCAGTTCAAAGCATGGAAGATGCTCAGAAGGTGAAGCAAGGTGATTTTTATAGAATGCACTAAAGAAAATAGGGCTCCATAAAATTGTATTCCATAAAGTTATTTATTGACTCATACTTTATATATCGCATTTATATGTATTGTGTGGAGTTATTTTATCTGCAGTGATCCTCCTTTTAAATTGGATGCTGAGTAAAATACTGACTTAATCAGGAATGAAATTAGGGAGCATAAAGCTGTGGAAGAAGGAGTAAACAACACAATAATTTTGAGTTATGGTAATGTATCATGTGTGGAGACTTGACACAAGCCTTTGACACTTTCTAAGCTCTCTAGAATGTTACAGTGAACAAATAGCCTGATGATGGACTAAGCATCTCTAGGTGGAGATTGCTGGAAGCTAAAGTATTTTTCATGTGTTACCCATGTTAAAAAGGTGGGAAGGGGATAAGTGAGCTTGAGAATTCTGAGCAACAGAATTTGCATATAATCCACGTGCTCCTCTGGGTGGTAGTTTCAACTTAAGCACCCGATGCTTGAGTTTGGTAGTTCTGGTTTCTCCTGGCTGTTTGTAAAAAGGTGAATGGTGTGGCTCTGCTGCTGCCACTTGAGCTCTTGGCAGAACTCTGTCTGTGCCCAGTCTGGGGTTGCTGTTCTGTGGTTCCCTGTGCTCACACAAGGCCAATTGCTTGGGTAGATGCTGTGAGTTTTGTGGTGAGCCTGTAGCTTGTAGGAGGAAGAAATGGGGTAAATACACCACAACTGATGGAAAACCTGTTGTGGTAAGAGACTGTGGAGACGCTGTAGGTTCAGCAAGGGATCAGCAGGTCCAGAGGCAAAGATCCCTAATCCCATGGCTGGGTGTTGGAATAAGGATGGTAAACCACAGACATTACTGATTGCTCTCCCTACACAGCACTTCCTGCTTGAGCTTTTGGAGTCAGACTGCTGGACTAAAGGGACTCTGATCTGTCCTCGTGGAGCTTTTTTTATGTTCACGTTGGGCAAAGGGAATTTTCTTCCTTTTTTCTCAGCCTACCAGTAAAAGCTATGCAAGTGAATTTACAGGTTATGCCATGTTGTGAATAACACCAAAGCATTTAGGGAGGTGAAAGTCATGGCTTTTCTGGAAAATTAAGCTGGCTTGCATCAGGATTATTGTGACCCCATCTCCTTCCGTGTGTTGCTGGCAATTGCGTCACCAGGCGATGAATTGGTCGGCTGAATTTGCTTTGTGGGGGCAACTGGATGTAAGTGGATGTGGAAAAAAAGCAGCTCTAAGTTCGATTTGAGCCTTTGTGGAACCATCCCCCAAAGTATTTTGGGGGTAAGTAAAGGCTTTCTCCAAAGGAGGCTGAGACCACAAGTAGTGACGGCAGCATTTGGATATTTGCAAACATTTTTTACTCTTTTGAAATGGAGCAGTAAACTTTGCTGTATGTTTAAAATCCCTGTCCAGGGAATTGAATTCTCCCATTGTTTAACTTTGAAAGAGACATCGTGGCTCTGGACTGGCTCCTGGAAGAGCCTTTCACTGCAGTAGAAACAGTGGTGATTTTTGGCCAATTGCTTCAGCTTCTTGTACAGTTTTTCTGTCTCCTTGTGTTCGATTTGCAAAGCTCTTCCATTGAAAACGCTTCTAACGTCCAAAGATTTAAAATGAAAGCAGGAAATGCTACTGAATTGAAAATGCCCTCCTGTTTTTGGCTGTATGATTCTATGACATAAGTTAATACTATGACATTTTCACCAGTAACCTTCTCCTGTGTACTAAACTGTTTGCACTGGAGGTGCAATCTAAACTGCAGTTTTGCTTTCCCAGTATGTACTGTGGGAGAACCCCTTAGAGGCACTTCAGGAGTTCCCAGATTACAGGTTGGAAAAAAGACAAATTTTTGAAGGCTAGTAGTTTCAGTCAAAGCTTATCAGATTATTAAAACCTTTCTTCTTTTCTTTTCTTTTTGGAGGATGGAAGAAGTTAGTGTTATCCAGCATTCCTGCTGAGTATATCACTTACTGCCACTTCTGATCTTTGAAGAGAGATTTATCGCTTCCTGTGGCAATACTGAATACTCAAAAGGTACTCATTGATTACTTGATCCTTCCCTACCTTCCATATTAATGCTCTCCTCTCCTTCCTGCTGAGGAGTGGCTGCTGTTCACTCCTGCCTACTCTGAGCCACTTGGAGCATTATATAAGCCCAGAGTATTTTATGCTTTGCTCCTCTAGTGTTCTGTCCTGTTGAAGCAGCTGCATCCTCTCCCTGTTCTACCAGTGTTTTGACCTACATGAAGAAGGATTTGTCAGCTTCCATGACGGTATGATGGAACAGACTATCAAATATTTAGATGTCTTACTTGCCTGACATGACATCTGTAATGTTTTTGGAGACATCTGCTTTGAATGGCTTGTGCAAAAAAAATCCAAATCCTTAGGGATGTTTTCTCCAGCTCCACCAGATTCAAAAAAGGGAGATAGCACTCAATGTTTGTCCTGCTGTGTTATCAGTCTGGCTCTTCTTGGTTAGAAATGTTTGATCCAGTGCACTTGTTGGTCAGTATGAAGTGTTATGTCCCAGAGCTGCCTCTTCAAACAGACTGTTCTGTGCTGGTGTTCAGGGAGACTTTTCAGCCACCTTCTGGCACTCAAGGTACAACTTCTTGTTAAGATTCTGGAGAAAAAAAGCACACAGTAGCCCTTACTTCTTCAAGGACAGATTTTTCTTTTTTCTCAGTTTAGATGTACTCATTGTGGTCCTGGGTTTCCTACTGCAAATTAAAAACAAGTAGTGAGGTCCCTTGTCAGTGCTGCTTCCCCCTTTTCTGTCTGAAGTTCCTGTAGGAGCTTTGTCTGATGTGACTCTCTGTACTTCATGGCACACATGGTTCTGTGTCTCCTAAACACTCTGCCTGTGCTCCTCTAATGCTGTACTCTTAAATACTGGGTGGCTTTGGATATTCACCACTCTGAAAGTGCAGGTCAGTGGTAGATTGCTAAGAGTTACTGTACTTCTGCACATTTGCTAAAAACTGGCTGGTGTTTGAGAGCTTGCAGAGGTGTTCCAGGGCCTCTAGAACTTGTGTGGAAGTGAATGCTGAGACCAGTCAGTCCTAAGATCATCGTAGTTAGAAGTGCATAGATGGAAAAAAGCCTCACAGTGTTGTGTTTGAAGTTTTAAGTGTATCCTTCATTTTATATAGTGCCAGAGAATGGTAAAATAATTTGGGTTGGAAGGGAGTTCTTGTGGTACCCTTGTTCGACCCCTGGCTCAGCACAGGGGCAGCATTGATGTTAGATGAGGTTGTTTAGGGTTATATTTAGTAAATATTTTCATTCCCACAGCATCTCTGTGAACTGTTCTGAATCTGTGTTTAGGAAAGAAAGATCTGCAATTATTGGTTTATTTCTCTTTCCCCCTACTAAGAGTTTGGGTACAATCTTATTCAAAACAGATCTCTCCACTGTTAAGTCATTTGTGAAGCAGAACACCAGGCTTGAAAAATAGAAGAAACTCTTTCTTTATTCAAAATTTCAGGAAAACCAAAGTTAGGGTAAAAGAATAGCAGTAGATTAAAAGATGCTTCCATTCAATTCACTGTGCTCTGTTATGCTGGTGTGTGACAAAACTTCTGAGATGATAGAATTCCATGCAGGAGGTGTTCATTTTGTATCAAATGTCTTCTGAATGCAGAGGTCCTTCACCCTTAAGGTTTTTCTGTGTTAATTGACAGGTTTGTAAATTTGAGGAACTGGTAGTCTTCTCCAGGGTTGCACAGCACAGAACCTGGCAAGGATGCAGCTTGCATCAGCAATCTTAATATGCCCTTGGCATATTCCCTGAGCATCCCCTTTCCTGGTCAGGGGTTGTGTGTAGCATTTGTGATTTTTACAGAGTAAGTGTTAAATAAAAATAGATCTATTCCAAATGTTTTTTAAAAGCTCCCTATCACTGAGCACCCACAGGTCCAACAAACCTCTTATCAGTCGTGCTCTTTGAAGCTGATAAACAATTAAAAATAGACTTGCCAAGTAAAAAAATTCAGCCAGGACCCAGACTTGAGTGCCTTGTACTAAATAAATGACAGAAGAACCTGGGGAGGGAAGTACTTAAATTCAAAGGGTGTAGGACTGGTATGAAATCCAGCACTGCTTCGCTCACATCACTGAGTGCAGCAAGAAGATGTGCCCCACTTAAGAATTACTCTTGTGGACTCCCTTATCATTCCCAGGGTTTTTAGCGTGTGTGCATACTGAGGATTACAGGATGAGAAATAATGTGCTGTCTTATAAATATTGTAGTTCTGTGAATGTGAATATTTGAAGCTCTTAATTGTTAATGAAGTTTGCTTCAGTGAGCAGAGGCTGCTCTTCCTCAGGGTAGCAAGGTTAGAATTGTTAAAGCTGATTTTGTCTATTGATAGGGTTTCTTGCTGCATTGACAGTATGTAAGGAGTTATATTTGCTCTAATTTACACCTCTTTAACAATAAAAGCTCCTTTGGTGTGTGATTTGCTGTTCCACAGCACAGGAGAAAAAGGCCATCTGAAGTAGGCATAGTCAGCTCTAAAATGTCATATTACACTCTTAATCTGATGTGAGGCATCCAGAGCTTTAGGTTGTAAGAACTGTAAATGCTGAATTCAGAGTTAGAGGACAGGTATAGAGAGGAGCTTGTAAAATTAGTTCAGTCATGCTGGTGAAAAGTGATAAAGCTGACTAAGATGCTCTTTTGGTTTTATTTATGGCTTTTTTTTTTTTTTGGTAAGTGAAGGGGTCCTCAAGCAGTTATCAATGCTGCTGCTATTAGAGGTGTGGGGCTACACATTTGCTGTTAAACAAGCATTAAACATTCAAACAGTCCTTTTACCACCCCCCCCTTTCCCCTCTTCCCTTTCTCTTTTATGTAGTTTCACTAGTACGACTCATCTGTTCTGTTCCAGAGGGTGTTCTGACCTCAAGAGCTGCATGAAGAATAGCCAGCATGAAGAGAACAAATCAGTCCAGGCAGAAGTGCAGAAGCAACAAGAACATAAATGTAAATTAAGGGGTTTTAAAGTGTGGTATGTGTTCCATGCTGAGGCAGTAGTTTCCTGAACGTAAAGCTTAACACTGTGCTGGAGGAAACCCTCTTGTCATGCTTGTCTTTTGGCTGGCCTGAGTGTTTGGGCACAGCAGAGACCTGGTCTGGATGGAAATAAGTATCTTTTTGGCTGGGTGAGTTCTGGCCTGGATTAGTTTCCTGACCAGTGGCTGCAGTCTTAAAAGTGCTTGTGCTGACATGAGGAATAGTTGGGTGATGGGAGGGAATGAATGGGCAGTTTAAAGGCAGGAATGGCTTCTCTGACAGTGTGTCTGAAAATGAGGCCTTGCTCCTTCCTAGTACAAAGGTTTTTTTCCTCCAAGGTTGAGTGCCTTTGTGGGGTATTGTTTTTTTTTCTTCATCTGCTTTGTTAGGGCTGAGTGTATGAGAATATTTGGAATATGAGTATATATGAATACACCTGTGTGTATAAGATAAATGAAACTACTTAGAATTTCAGCATGAGGGTCACTTTAAATAGAGTTCACCTGGGTTTAATTCTCTTTGTCTCATCCAGCACTTATGAATTCAGATTGACTCTTCTGTGATCTGTGACTCAAAAGCAAGGATGTTTTCATTTAGTCTCTGGGAGTTTGTCTTGTCCACCACCCTCCTGCCACAGGTGCTTTCGAAACTCTGCTGGAATTTCCTGTCCTTGCTGCAACAGCAGTAAACTGCACCTCTGTGTTTGGCAGCCTGACATTAAATTAACTAGCACTGATTCAGGTTTCCTTGTGTGCATCAGGGTGTGATTTGTGAGGTGACTAATAGTCACTGCATGGGCAGCTGTTGTTCATAGCATAGGACCCACGTTACCATTCCAGGGATAAGCACTTCCTGCTCCTCCAATTTGAAGCCTGAATTCACTTGTCCAGGCACAGTATCACTACTTAATGGATACTTGCACAAAGATAAAAGAAATAGCTGTCCCCCAAAAGTTTAGTCTTGGGTACTTGTTAATCTAGACAAAGCCTTAGAGGAAAACAAAATCCAAATACTTATTATGAAGTCTCCAGAATGCCATGAAACTTGTTGCACTGGTCTTTTTTTCAGGTGTGGGAGTGGCTGGTGTTGCCACTTTGATATCATGCAAGGCTGTATCAGATGGCCAAAGAATCCTGCTCTGCTCACAGTGATTTTGAAGAAGCAACTGTTTTGCTGTGAGCAGTTTGCTAATAGCCTAAATGAAAGCCTAAACTTAGTGTGTGATGGCAGAAATGGCCACAAATACTTGTTGACAAAACTAATAATATTTTCCAGTACCTACCTACAGTATTAGACTTTTTGTGGCAAGGGATTTTACAGGCTCTTCTAACCTGAAATAATTTTCTGTTCTCAATTTAATACCTTCAAGTATTCTGGTGGTCTTTTATGAGCTCCTTCATCACTTTTACATTATGAAGAGCTGTAGAAGGGAAGGAGTGATTACTTTTATGATCTAACATCAGCTAAAAGGGAATTCCTCTGTGACTGCTACTTTTAAAGTGTAAATCTTTCTGTATTTTACACCTGATTAAATTGCATGTTTGTCCTTCTGAAAAGAGCTGTCAGGGTGTTAGCAAAATGTGATACCTTCCTTAATATATTAAAAAGGGAAACTTTTTTTTTTTAAAGGTTGATATAAAAATATTTCATTCACATTTCCCACCTCTCAGTAAAGGATTCTCAGAATGACTGAAGACCTAGACTCATCTAGTGAGATTGCACTAGCAGTTATTGCAAGAAAGAGTGAAAAATGAAAGCTAAAATTTAAAAGAATATTAGATAGGAATGGCAGGAGAAATTAAGGAAGAATGAACAAGGCCTAAGAACAAGACTGTTTTTCGTGTAGGGATCCACTTAAAAGCTTTGAATCACTCTCTGGAAGAATGTGCTGTTCTCATTGCCCTATTTAGAGAGACCAACCTGCCAGCACAGACACTTTGCTTAGGTAATCTCCACCTGCACTACCAAAGCTGGCTGTCTTCTCCCTTGGCAGGGTCAGTCCTTAAGGAAACCTTCCTTCTGCAACTCTGCGTTTGCAATTGCAGCTGTCATTCTTGTAGCTGTTTTATGTATTTCTTGGGGCTTTTTTCCCTTGACAGGCCCCTTTTCATACACAGAAAAAGCGCTGGCATTTATTAACTGGTGATGAAGTTCACTCTTCTCCTAGGTTTCTTGCTTGGCCTTTTCCTTACTCCCTCCGAGATGCTGAAATATTTTTCAGAGTAATTGCTTAATAGTAGATTAATGAGACTGCCCTTTTTAATTTAAAACTGTAATAAATATTTGAAGTGGTACATTTGACTTTTTTTGTTTGTTTTCAGTGCCAGTGTTGTAAGTGGCAAGGAGGAAATGAGAAAACAGCTGGAGCTGGGCGTGGCAGTCATAACTAGTGGATATGAAATCGAATGCAGTAGGCAAATGAAAGCTTTAAGTTTTTAGTGTGAGCAAATTACTTAGTAGAAGAAACTCATCCCAGCTTTTTAGTTTCCCCTGTTGGTAGTAAATCTTGGATGTTTTGCATGTGATGTGCACAGCTGGTCTGTTTGGATCCAACTGTGCCTCGTCTTGAGTGTAGAACTGCTGAACTACTCCTAGAAACACCTCGAGTTGAAAATCTTTATAGCTCTGTTTGTGGGGTGCTGAGACCAAGCTACCAAACTCTGCCTGGGGTGCCTGGCCCTGCACAGAGCTCTTCAAGCATCTTCCTGCCTCCTTCCAAACTGTGTCAGGATTTTTTGGTTCTAGTGCCACACTGTGTGGAGAACAAGAATTGGTGTCCTTTTAAACCCAGAGGGGAGCTGTGAGAAGCAGTTGCACGTGCACCTACTCTGTATTCTGAATTTGTTGCCTGTCTGGGGGTACCACTGATATGCTGAGGAGATCAGGAGCAATTGTGGTGAATAGTAAGAAAGAGCATCTCTAGGAAAGGCAATACTTAATGCTTTGTGTTTTATTTGTATCGTGTCTGCTTTAGAATAAGTTACATTCATGCCATGTTCATCTGTTATCAGGGAAGCTCTGCTGGAGGAAATGGCCTACTTGTTAAACTGCCTTATCTTTGGCTGTGCTTAGCTGGGAGCCTTTTCAGGGAAAAGATACGGCTGTTTCATGATGGGAAGGAGAATGGCCAAGCACTCCTGCGGTTATGCTGCATCTGCTGATGCCCTTAAATACTCACACAGACACGTGTGAACTGCAGGCAGGAAAATAAAAGGAAAAAATGTCCATTGTCTATAAACCCTGTTGAATATATTTTATTTTTTTTTTGGAATCTTGCTTTAAATGGCAGACACGCTGCGCAACCGCAGACTCACAGTTGAAGCTTTTGCTTATTCCTCTATTCAACTTTCAAAGGTTCACAGGGTATGCAGGAGCAAAATAAATCTCCCATGTTTTAACTTAAGGCTTTATTTCCACTCCCATAAAATTTGTAATAAGTGCCTGATCCATAAGTGTCAAAGCCATGTCAGTTTTTAAGTGGTACTGTATGTGGATTGACTAGAATTCAAGGTCTGAATACATTGAAAGGTGATAGGGTTTTTTGTTTGCAGTAATGCAAGGATATTTTTCAGTGTTTTATGAATGCCAAAAAATTATTGACAGCATTTGACTTCATTGTTTCTCTTGGTGTTTGTTGTTTTTTTTTCCCCTCATGTGAAGAGTATATTACAGCACTAAATCTACTTTTCAATTGCTTTAGTGTCCCAACAGTTTTTATTGACACTGTGCCTTGTTTGGCAAAAATAAATATTTTTCTGTTATTTGGTACATGAAACTTGAAGCAGTTCAGGATTTGTTAATTCTAAGGTTGGGTGAGAGGCAGACAAATGCCTCTTTGGTAGTAGCTTTATTATAAACAACACAAAAAGCTAGATAAACAGGCAGTGGCACTAACCATCCCTGTCTCTGGGTTTGTACTCTCTGCATTGACACCTACAGCAAGTTGTTTTTAATGCTTCTACAATTCCCTTCCAGTACCTAAAGGAGCTCCAAGCTGGAGAGGGACTTTGGACAAGGGCATGGAGTGGCAGGACAAAGGAGAACGACTTTGTGCTGGCACAGGGCAGGGTTAGATTGTACATTAAGAAGAAATTCTTTGCTGTGAGTGTAGCTGGGCTGGGACTCCTGTGCTGCAGTTATAGGACAGTTGGCACTGAATTATTTTACCTCAAGCAGCCTTTTGATTTCCTTTTGTTGGAACGAAATGTCGGTTGTACCAAATGCACAGCCCTTCCTCTTTCTGCTTGTTTCAGATGAGCTGCCCATGGGTTCTCTGAAGCAGCTTAGGTCTGTTGTTGGGACGTCATAGCTTTTTACCTGGTTAATTGGATTGTGACAGTGCACTGAGCTGTTCAGTGGTGTGGTGTCTCGGTAGAGCCCATTGAGTGAGTGTGTTTGTAAAGACTGGCTTGAGCTGTTACATGGGAATTGTGTTCATTTCAGATGTTCTTTGGTTGCTCTCCTTATTGTGGAAGCTCTTCTTTTTCGCTTTTTTTCAGTCTTGATTTACTGCATCATCTGTTAACCTGGTGCTTTGTTTTCCTTTTTAGATTCAGTCATTGTGGAACTGAGCTGTTGATGTAAGGTAGCAGTAACTGGTAGGAAGAGAGCTGGTGACAAAAGCCAGAAATAAAAAGTTGGGTTAAGTGTATACAAAACTCAGCAGTTTTTATTCCTAGTGTTCTGCTATAGTGGTCTTAGCTGTAGCAAATGACACATCCTCTAATAAATATAAAACTTGCCTGTAATACTTACTTTGTGAAAAAGGCAGATTAAGTTTAAAAGAAAAAAAAAAAGGTAAGGAAAAAGGTAGCAAATAGTTCGAGACAGAGTAATTGAGAAGTGGCATGGACAGGTGGTGCAAAGCTGAGATGGAGTCTTTCCAGAGAGCTTATTTAATAGGAAAGAGTCAGTACATTTTCCCCTCTTAAGCTTAGGGTCCATCCTGGGTGCCCCCTGGTTGGAGAAATTGGAAATTTGTAAATCCATGCTTTCTTCAGAAGAAATCTTGGCAGTGTGGGAAATTTTTGAGCTGGCCAAGACATCAAATGAGACTGCTCCTGTATATTTGTGTATTTTTGTATGTTGTTATGTTGTTACAATATTCTAAAGGTTATAGTAACATTTTCCCTGTGGCAAGAATTTGATTTCAAACTAGGCATTTTCAGGTGCCTTTACTTTTCACTGAGAGGAACCTGCTCGTATGTGTGCTGAGTGTTGGAGTCCAGGGGATCTGGGTCAGGATGCAGTGACAGGCTGGAAGAGTGGAGGTGGCGGGGTCAGGATGCAGTGGAGGGCAGGCACAGGGAGGTGACAGGGTCAGGATGCAGTGGAGGGCAGGCACAGGGAGGTGATGGGGTCAGGGTGCAGTGGAGGGCAGGCACAGGGAGGTGGCAGGGTCAGGATGCAGTGATGGAGGGACAGGGAGGTGACAGCGGAGGTGGCAGGGTCAGGATGCAGTGATGGAGGGACAGGGAGGTGGCAGCGGAGGTGGCAGGGTCAGGGTGCAGTGATGGAGGGACAGGGAGGTGGCAGCGGAGGAGGCAGGGTCAGGATGCAGTGGAGGCAGGCACAGGGAGGTGGCAGCGGAGGTGGCAGGCCCGGTCCCGGTGCAGTGCCGTGTCTCACCACGGCGGGGCAGCCGTGCCCCACCGTGTAACCCCCGCCCCCGATGAGTGACAGGGAACGGGGGTGAGAGATGGGAGAGGGAGGAACAGCGGGGTCTGAGTTTCTTTACTGGACGGTTGTGAGAATCCATCCATTCCTTTCACACCCGTACACATCTCACTGTGAGCATCTTTAACACGAGTTGTTCCTGCCTGCTTTTCCTTGGCCTCCCTGTACCTCTGCATTCCTGGGCTGGCAGACTTTTCCTGACAGTGTGAGCCGTGTGTCAAAGTCTTCAGGTGTGCGAGTGAGTGACCTGTTTCTCAGTGGACGTAGGATTTTCTGCTGTACAAGTCTGAAATGATGCCTTCCTCCAGCTCCACAGGAAGTCATGCTTCTGTAGGATCCTAGAGGACACTGGCCAATTCTGGCCCGTTGGCTTGCTTTTGGGTGACTTAACAGCCTTGTTACCAACTCTGATATTGGCAGTGAATGTGAAGGTCCTTATGAGAGCCTCACCTCTGCTCAGAGCTGCCTGTGCTTGTATCGAGGTTGCAGACTTCTCCTCTGTTCCTCTGCAAGGCACCAAAATTGCATTAGCTTTGCAGATGGGCATTTGCCATTTTATCCCTTCGTCTTAAATATTTCGTTGTTACCCCCCCTGACCATTTATTTTGTTTAGTTGTGTCCTTCCTTTTCTCGTTAAGAGATTTTTTGGTCACCTCAAAAGGCTTCTCTTCTCTCTCTCTCTCTCTCTCTCTCTCTCTCTCTCTCTGCAAATGCTTAAGATAATTGTAAAACAGTTTCACAGTTGCTGTAGGCCAAAGACCAGCTCTGTTCTGATTGCCTGCTGTCTAGTGTTAAGTACTTACATCATCTCGTGTACTTCAGCTGTTTCTCCATATGGATTTGCTCCAACTTGAGAAGCTGATGGGTGGTAAAGGGAAGGCGAGGCCGGATCCCTGCAGGGAGTGCTCACGAAGCCATATGTTGGTATTCCTGGGTATCTGGTGCCCTCTGGAGACTGTGGCTGCCCACGACATAACAAATATCAAGACAGCACGTTAATAGATGTCCCCAGTCCCAGCAGGCTGAGGAACAATATGAGCTTTATTGTTCTCACAGCAGAGCTGGAGGATGCTAGGAAAGACAGTAGACTAAAGGCAAGAACTCTCTAAAAATAATAGCAAATACATGTCTTGTAATTCTTAAAATTCAGCTGTGTTTCGTGTTTATGTCTATAAGCCTGTGTATTTCAAAATTCAGTATGCAAGATTAAACGTAGATATTTGAAAATAGTTTGGTGATTTTTAAAGTGTTGAGGTAACAAGGGAGATTAAATATTTATGGTAATTAAATTCAGTTAGCTGGTCTGAGAGGCCAGTCAATCTAATGGGAAAATACAGAAGTCTCTTATCAAATCTGGAACTGAAATCAGGACTTAATCACAGGCTCAGTAAGGAAACTGGCTCTTTTATTGGTTGCTTCAACAGTACAATTGGTCTTGGTACCTTTTTAACACTTATGAAGGGGATATAAGAAATGGTATCCTGATGCAGGGAATATGTTTGGCAAGGCTGGGGAACCTGCTTTCATTTTTACAAAGTAAACCACCTGAAACAGAGGTAGACTTAGGAAATACTTCTTTACTGTGATCTTACTCTTTTCATTTGGGGAAGAAGACAGCTACAAAGTGATAATTTCTTCTAACTCTTACTACTCTTGAAGGAACCTTCCTGCAGAATGAGAATACAGGGATTTCATATTTTTCCCTGACTGCAGAGAAGAACACTGGATGGTCTGAGGAGGAAGAAAATCTCGGTGTTATGCTTGTGTGCAGCTATTTTGAGAGTTAAACTTAAGGCCCACCAAAAGGCTGAGCTTCAGTATTGTTGTTTGTTTGTGACTGTATAGATGGATTTAACCCAGGCATCACCAGAATCCACCAGTTCTGACTCCACATCATTTATGTTGAAATAAGATTTTGCCTGAGCCTGTCTCCTGCTATGGCTCATTCAGGTGAAGAGGGAGGGCACAGTGCATCGTCCTCTGCTCTGCTCAGGGCCTGGCAGTGCCAGAGGTGGGAGCAGGAAATACTTTCTTTAAGGTTGGCTTTTTGCTTTTGAACAGTACAGTATTTTTGTACCTTTAAAATTTATAGCCAAAGACTGCCTCTGGTCCTGCTAAGCTGTGTGAAGTGATTAAACAAGCTCAATGAGGAATAATACTGCTGTGCATCTTGCTGGTGGGATTTGTGGTCTTTGAGAAATGGGAACGTGCGTATCGCTTTATCTCTCTTCCTTGCTTTCCTTCCTTTCCAAGAAGCTGGTACAGTTGTCTCCCTGCAGGCAGCATTCTGTGATTGCCTTGGTTTGCAGTGGTGATGGGCTCATGGAGACCTACAGCTCTCAGCTCCTGTTTTCTGATTCGTGGCTGCTGTTAAATTGGGTGTTTCCAGTTGGGCGACTTATTCTTCTGTGGGGTTTGTGCAGTTGTTAAACACGTCGGATGGTGTGTGGCATTCATTCTCTTTGTTTTTACAGCAGGAAGGTGAAATGGAAGGTGAGGCAGTCGAAGCTATTGTGGAGGAATCAGAAACTTTCATTAAGGGAAAAGAGAGGAAAACCTATCAAAGACGCCGTGAAGGCGGGCAAGAGGATGATGCTTGTCACCTACCGCCAAACCAAGCAGATGGAGGTGAAGTAGTGCAGGACGTCAGCAGTGGGGTGCAGATGGTGATGATGGATCAGCTGGATCCAACTCTTCTTCAAATGAAGACTGAAGTAATGGAAGGTGCAGTGCCTCAAGAAACTGAGGCTACAGTGGATGACACACAGATCATAACACTTCAGGTTGTTAATATGGAAGAGCAGCCTATAAACCTTGGTGAGCTTCAGCTGGTCCAAGTACCTGTACCAGTGACTGTACCTGTTGCCACCACGTCTGTGGAAGAACTGCAGGGAGCTTATGAAAATGAGGTTTCCAAAGCAGGCCTGCAAGAGGGGGAGCCCATGATCTGTCACACCCTCCCTTTACCAGAAGGCTTCCAAGTAGTGAAAGTGGGTGCAAATGGTGAGGTGGAGACACTGGAACAAGGTGATCTTCAGCCACAGGAAGATCCCAATTGGCAGAAAGATCCAGACTATCAACCACCAGCCAAAAAAACAAAGAAAAACAAAAAGAGTAAGCTTCGCTACACTGAGGAAGGCAAAGATGTGGATGTGTCTGTGTATGACTTTGAAGAGGAGCAGCAGGAGGGTTTGTTGTCCGAGGTTAATGCAGAAAAGGTGGTGGGCAATATGAAGCCACCTAAACCAACAAAAATTAAAAAGAAAGGTAAGCTCCCCATCTGCGAGTGGATTTTGAAAATGCATTTGTTATGGTGGGACCTTGCAATGTGATGTGACTGAATAGAGGCAAGTTGGGAGGAAAGCAGACGTGCCCAGTGTTTCTTGCTCTTTATATAATAGAACTCGACTCCAGTGTTTCTTGGGCAAACCTCCCTTCTCTTCCATTTAGGCTGAGGGAGCTCATTTTCCTCAACTACAGTGCTGTGGCATTAATATTCCCATATAACTGTGATTGAAAAGATTGTTCTCTTTGCTGCAATACACATGTAACAGTTAATGTGCATGTGGTTTACACCAGGAACCAGTGGTATAATTAGTTCTGTGGGGCTTTTTCTAACCAATTGCTGGGTAAGATAGATGGTGCAAAATACAGTAATAGGTATGTTTGATTTTTTTTGTTGTTGTTTTTTGGGGTTTTTTTGTTTGGTTGGGGTTTTTTGTTAAAACTGTAAGTTAAGGAACCCTTTTTAGAGTGGAGAAGGAACATTGAGTGCTGGCATACTAATGAAAATTGAAGCCAAATCAGCCCCAGGCAATGCAGTTGGATTTAGTGCTACATGGTGGCTCCTTGCAGTAGCTAAACCTCCAAGAATCTTTTCTTTTCCCTGCTGATCTCTAATGTTGCACAGTGGAGCACAGTGCTGTCAAAGGCTAAAGGTGGTTTCTTTCCTGACTAGGTGTAAAGAAGACATTCCAGTGTGAACTGTGCAGTTACACTTGTCCCCGTCGTTCCAACCTGGACCGCCACATGAAAAGCCACACTGACGAAAGACCACACAAGTGCCATCTCTGTGGCAGGGCTTTCCGGACAGTCACGTTGCTGAGGAACCACCTCAACACTCACACAGGTACTCTTGGTTTTGCATACATTGTTTTTGTAGGGCCTGCTCTGTCATTAGAACAAATAGGTTTGAGATAGGTCTCTGCTGTTTTTCTAATTCCTCTTACGGAACAAGCTAAAAGGAGGAGACGATGCAGTTGTTTTGTGCCTGGCCAGGTCAGCTGCACAGCTTGTCCTGTTCACAGGTGTAAAACTGGTCCTGGGCTTGATCTCAAATTACCTGAAGCTACAGAAATGTTCTCTTTGCCTTGAGCATTAGTACTTGTGTTCTCAGATATGTATTGTCTCTGCTGCGTGGAGAAAAGTACAATGAAAATGAGGCTGGAGTTAAACACGAGGGAATTAAAAATAACCAAAAACACCTACCCCCAAGGAATAGATTATAAACTGGATGAATAAAATTTATAGCTAGAAATTGTAACACATTTCTCTTGCTCTTTACCAGAATTTCTGGTATGAAACTGCAGGTAATTGAACTGTGAATATACTTAAGCTTGTGCCGTTCTGCCAAAAAACCCCCCACATATCCCTCATTTTCTCTGTGTACTTACACTGTGTCTAACTTTGTGGTTTCAGATTTGTAAATAACCAAGTGATACAAAAAAAAGTCTGTTTCCTCACTGAAAGCATGTTAGTTCTCTGAGATCTTCAATCCATTTGTTATTTATACAAACCCCCTGACTGTTGTGTAAATTATTTGCTACTCTAATCTAATCTTTCAGAACACGAAAGCAGTGTTGCTAATTCACTTGAAAAACAAAAACAAACCCAACCAAAACCGTCCCATATTTTCTTTTGTCACTAAATCTGCATGTCATTGCCTCCCTGCTTTGCTGCACACCCTTAGGTACTCGCCCTCACAAGTGCCCAGACTGCGACATGGCCTTTGTGACCAGTGGAGAGTTGGTTCGGCATCGCCGCTACAAACATACCCACGAGAAACCCTTCAAGTGTTCCATGTGTGATTATGCCAGTGTGGAGGTATGTTAGTTACTTGTTACAGTGCTGAGTGCTTCCTTGTGCACTTCAAAGATTGTTCACCATCTGTTATAAACTCTGTTCTCAGGCATTTCCTTCCTCTTTGGCCATTTGGTTAAAAGGCTCTGAGCAAAAGATGTTATAAATCAGAGCTGCTCTTGGAAGCAAATGGTGGGGTTTCCTCAGTGAATCAGAAAGCAGTTTGAGATCACTTATGCACAGAAATCCTAGGTGATACCCATTTCCTCTTTATAGACAATAGTTGTCATTGTTTCTTAAATTATTTGGCCTTTAATATGATTGCAGGAATTGTAGCATGCTCTGTGTTGAAGGAGACAGACGTTTCCTCCTGCAGTGGGGTGTCATTCCAGATCAGAATTGCCCTCCCATTTTAGAAACATGCATTCTGCAGATTATCTGTTTATGCCATGAAGGTGTCTGTAGCTAAAATTAATGAGCCTTTGCCTCAATATTGGTGAAGAGCAGCTTTGCTAATATTGAATGATTGTCTAATTTGCTCAGGCACATTAAGCTTCCTTGAATGCTTCCCTTCTATGCAGTATTACCTATTTTATGGGACAGCTTTTATATTGTGATAGGAAACTAGAGCTAGATGATGAGCAGCTGGAATTTCTGCAGTGGAAGAAGGTTACAGTTGGGAGAGCTTGAGCAGGGGCTTCAGTCTTTTTTTCCTACCCACACGGTGCCTGCAGTGCTGTAATTCCAGGCCCTGTGGGTTTGAGTGCTGAATAAATTGTGTTGCAGGGGTTTTCATAGTATGAATTAGGAAAGAACAACCAAGTTGGTCCTTACATGAGGTCATGCTGCTTTTTGTAGGCAAAGGTTGGTGATTAAGCAGTGTGGTCAGGCTAGAGTAGAACATGCAGTACCATTGGTGTTCTTGCTGACCTTTGAGCTGGGTTTGTACCTTCTCAATAAAAGCAGGAGAGGATCTCCAGGATACTTTGAAATTTTAGGGTGTCTTCAGCTGCTGAGATGGTCAATAACAGTAAGTTGAGCACTGGAGTCTAAATCAGGCTGCAGTGAGTGTGGGAGCAAGCATCAGGCAAGGCTGGGAGTGAGGTTGGGAGGTGAAGCGAACAGGAGTTAGTGGCTGTGCACAGTGTGAGAATGGCATTGAAACATGCTTGTTTGGATTTGTAACAAAATAAAAATAGACGACCTTAAACTCTTCACTGATTCCTTGTACCTTTGGCAGTCTGAGCTGCTCATCTGTGCTGACTTTCAGTCTTGCTCTTGACTTCCAGGTTAGCAAATTGAAACGCCACATTCGCTCTCACACTGGGGAGCGCCCGTTCCAGTGCAGCTTGTGCAGCTATGCCAGCAGGGACACCTACAAACTGAAGAGGCACATGAGGACCCACTCCGGTACTGATGCCATGTTTCCTTAGTGTCAGAGTGCTGAGGCTGTGTATGATGTGTGCTGACACTTAAACAGCAAAAGAAATAGGGTTTTGTAGCTTTGTCTTAAACCTTTATGAAGTCTCTAGCTGAAGAGAATGCACCGTGATTGATAAGCACTACTAAATTCATAACCTAATGGAATTACTGCACTAAGAAATGAGCTTGGGGAATTCTGATTTCCAATTTGACTGTGAGGTGATAAAATACAGGCACTTGTAGTATGAACAGAAGAAACTTCTTCTGTTTTCGGTGTTCCACTTCCAGTTTAAGATTAGAGCCATTTACAGTTTTATGCTTTAGTGTAATTTTAAAAGCTTCTCATGCATGTTAGTTCATACAGATGCTAAATTTTTTCTTCAATAGAAATGGAATTGATTTTACCACAGAATGTTACAGCAGTGCCAAATTAATCATACTGCTAAAACTAAAGCAGGGGGAAAATGCTCTTTTATATATACATGAACATTCAGAACCCCCACTCCAAAAAAGTCTGATGCCACTTGCTGTCTTATGGCAGCCTGTGTGTAGGTCTTGCCTGAATTTCTCAGAGTAAGAATAATGTAACTTGCTAAAAGATTGAACTCGAGTTTCCTTGTAGAAAGATGCTTATTGGATATAAAACTTGTAGAGAAAGAGAAATCGAGCTCTTTGTAGAGTTACTGTTGTCTAGATGCCTGGTGCAAGTTTCTGGGAGGTTGTTTGGGGCTTCTTGGGTAAGATTTCTTTTTAACAAAAGTACTTGTGCTATTTTTTCCTCTTGCCTCCTGAAGGAGAGAAGCCATATGAATGTTACATCTGCCACGCTCGCTTCACTCAGAGCGGTACCATGAAGATGCACATTTTGCAGAAGCACACGGAGAATGTGGCCAAATTCCACTGTCCTCACTGTGATACTGTCATAGCGAGAAAGAGTGACTTGGGTACGTATCCCCCAAACGTGGCTGTTTGCTGAAGGTGGTACAAAACCTTTCCCACCATTAGAGTGCTCTTAACCCAGTGCATCTGGCAACTGCACAACGTGAAGCACAGCTGGTAATGCACACTTTTAGCTCGCCATAGCTGCTGCAAATTAGAACAGTTTTCAGTTGCTTCCCATTATTTGAAGAAGTAATTTTTTTTCCCCCGAGCGTACAATACTGTTTTCAGGCTCATAGATGCCAGGCATTTATTGAACTTGGACTGAGATTCCAACAGCATAGGGACTGTGGGGTCTGAAAAGCCAGAAGATCACTTGGCTTGACCTCCTGCACATTAAGTGTCACGCAGAGATATTTTCATCAAGTTAAAAGGTTTGAATTAGACCAAATGTTTTAATTTTCTGGGGTGTGGAGCTGTGTGCCACAGACAGGGTAGGGGGGGAGTGTGTGCTCACAAAAGCCCTGAGTCCTTGCAGTAGGACAGTCTGGATCTAGAGAGGGGTACCCAGTGTGATTCCAGCAGGCAAGCTCTTATGTTCTAGAAGAAGGTGACAAACAATATCGTGCCCAGAGCAGCTGAGGAGAAGGAAAGAGCCACGATTTGGCAGAACTTTCTGTCTATAAACAGAATTATCACCCAAGTAATGGGAAGGCAGGCTCCCTTCCAGTGAAGACAAGTGTAAAGTGCTACAGTGAGAAGCAGTTTGAGAGGATGGCAGTCAGATGATGTCAGGAGCAAACAAGCTGATTTACAAGAGAGGAAAACTGATGTTAGCTATGAAGAATTTTTCTTCTAATAATGCTTTAATCTACCCTAAGCTACCTCGTGCAGCTGTGGTATGCTCTTAGTTGGAGGATTTTAAAGAAGTGACTAAAACCTCTGTCAGGATTATCTGCTGGTATCCCTGTTGCCTTCTAGCTCCGTCACACTGACTTCTAATCCTGCAGAAAATCCTGTTTTCCCCCAGTGAATTACCTGGCTTCTGTCTCTATCCAGGCAATTTGGGTTAGTCTTAAACATAACAGTCCACAAGACACTTCAGTTTGCCAATCATATGTTATCAAATGCGAGTGTCCTGAATCGGCACAGATTGCAACTAATAACCAAATCTGGAGTCCTGTGGAAAAACTCAACGGGGTTTTTCTGCAAGCTATTTCCATCTAGAAATTGTTCTAGTTGGTTTAACTACGAGTCTTTTAGGTTTTCAGTTGAATCCTAAATTAACCATTTCACTGATTTTTTTTTTTTTTTTTTTTTGGCTGAGCTCAGGAGTGAAGCCACACCTCAAGTGCTGTGTCCAGTTCTGGGCCCCTCAGTTCAGGAAGGACATTGAGGTGCTGGAGCAGGTCCAGAGAAGAGCAATTAGACTGGTGAAGGGACTCAAGCACAAGTCCTTTGTGGAGAGGTTGAGGGAGCTGGGGCTGTTCAACCTGGAGAAGAGGAGGCTCAGGGGAGACCTCCTCACTCTCTACAACTCCCTGACAGGAGGTTGTAGCCAGGTGGGGGTTGGTCTCTTTTCCCAGGCAACTGTCAGCAAGACAAGAGGGCTCGGTCTCAAGTTGTGCCAAGGGAGGTTTAGGTTAGATATTAGAAATAATTTCTTTACAGAGAGGGTGATCAGACATTGGAATGAGCTGCCCAGGGAAGTAGTGGATTCTCCATCCCTGGAGATTTTTAAGAAGAGACTGGATGTGGCACTTAGTGCCATGGTCTAGCAACTGCAGCGGTAGTGGATCAAGGGTTGGACTTGATGATCTCGGAGGTCCCTTCCAACCCAGCTGATTCTATGATTCTATCTCCAAAGGGCTTGTTAGGTTTGGCTTTTCCTGCTTGGGGGATCTGTGGTGGTGAAAGCCTCTCTCCGATCTTTTCCCTCCTTAGGTGTCCACTTGCGGAAGCAGCATTCCTACATCGAGCAGGGCAAGAAGTGTCGCTACTGCGACGCCGTGTTCCACGAGCGCTATGCCCTCATCCAGCACCAGAAGTCCCACAAGAACGAGAAGCGCTTCAAGTGTGACCAGTGTGATTATGCGTGCAGACAGGTGAGCTGGCAGCACTGGCACCCCCCCGTGAGCCAGTTAGGACAGGAGCTGAAAATACGAGGTGGAAATCTTAGCTGTTAAGTTTTTGACCAGCTGTGTCAAGGTCAAGTTAGTTGTCTTAAGCCTTTTGAAGGGTGTGAAGGAAAGTACGAGTGGCCTTTTCTTGGTGTGATGCTGCCCTGTAGAGAACCTTCTATTTCACAGCCTTGATGTATCTGTTGACCAAGGGATAAGAGTCCATATAGGATGGAAGTAGCTAGGACTGAATATGCCATCAATCCAGATGTTCTCACGTCCCTGCTGAATCATCCTTTTCTTGATATTAAAAAGTTTTGACTTCCTCGTAGCTGAAAATTCTCTCTTCTGATTCCATTTGCCTGAGTTCTCAACTTATTTTTCCCTGTCTTGCCTGTGGGTGCCAGGAGCGACACATGGTCATGCACAAACGGACCCACACTGGAGAAAAGCCTTATGCCTGTAGCCATTGTGACAAAACCTTCCGCCAGAAGCAGCTCCTCGACATGCACTTCAAACGATACCACGATCCCACCTTTGTCCCTGCTGCCTTTGTCTGTTCCAAGTGCGGCAAAACGTTCACTCGCAGGGTAAGGGAATTGCACTGCTTCGGACTGGGGGGATGTCGGGGTGGAATGAGGTTTTTAGCCAAGGGGAGAGGGGGGTGTTTACCCAGCAGAAAGGCTGGGTGAGGTAAAAGGTGCAATCCTGGTCTTTTAAATAGAGCCCTTCTCTCTGAGAGGAAAAGACCTGGTGTAATTCAGGATTAATACCAACACATATTAGCATTGACATCATGAGCAGTGTGGAAATGCAACTTTATTAATGAAGTTAATGAATGTACCAATTTCCCCTAAACAATCTTTCTTTAAAAAAAAAAGGAAGTTACCAGAAATGTGTTTGAAAATAAAGACCCAGAACGTCTGATCTTAAATTCTACACGTGTTTTAATTTTTGTTGTGTTTTTAATCTTCCATGAATAGAACACAATGGCCAGACATGCTGATAACTGCTCTGGCCTAGATGGTGGGGAAGGAGAGAATGGAGGAGAGACAAAGAAGGGCAAACGTGGCCGAAAGAGAAAGATGCGGTCTAAGAAAGAAGATTCCTCTGATAGTGGTAAGAACAGCTCAGTGCCTTCTGAGAATTACAGGCCTGTGATTCACTGCATGTGTTAGCTGTTGGTTTGCCAGCTCTGCAGGTTTGTTCTGGCACTTGAAAGAGTCTTGTCTGGTTGGCAAACAAAAAATGATAGTATGTGGCCAAGTACAGGGGGATTTACTGCCTGTGAGACATAATATAGATCCTGCTGTCCCAGGCCTGCTCTAGGGCAGTGTGGTTTAAAAAACAGTTTAACAGCCCTTGTGTCAGCTGTGCCATTCCTGTCCTGCCTGTGTGGCAAACTCTGGTAATTTTTTAAGAGTTCTGAAAGAAACTGTGTGGTTCTGTGGCACAGTGCTGTGAAATGGTACTTGATCCTGCTTGTGGTATGTCCAGACAACTGCACCACTGATTAGCTTGGCAACTTCTGTGGGGGAAGGCTGGCAGCATCCAAGGGAGATGCTGGTGGAGATATGCTGTTTGTGAAGGAAAAACTCATAGTCCTCTCTGCTGGTAGAGACTCATTGGGGTGGATTTCACACCTGGACACTGGGGCTGGTGGCTCTCCTGGCAGTGGCCTGGACAAGATGTTTGTTCCTCAGAAGTCATGGATTTGGGTTCCCACCTTCCATTGTGCAACCCTGTGCCCCTGTGGGTGGTGCAGGTGGGACTTGGAGGGGGACTGGTGGCTCCTCTGATGGGCCTGGGAGTAGCCCAGCAGTGTATTTGGTTCCCCTCCTACTGTTGTCTCTCTGAGCTCCTTTGTGGATGTGCAGAGTAGTTTTTATCACATAATCGAACATAATTATGTTTCCTTTTGCTTTCTGAAGGACAACTTGTCCCTCTAAGTTGGGGGTAACAGGTTAACAGTCTGTGCCACCAGCCTCTCAACAAAGGCCTTGTTTCCCTTCTTTCTCATCAGACTTGTCTCCTTTTGGATGAGGATTTGATGGTGCTTTGCTTTAGATGGATGTGTTTCATTCTTGTTTAAACTGAAGACTTACCTGAGATCATTTCTTACAGAGGAAAATGCTGAACCAGATTTGGATGATAATGAAGATGAGGAGGAGACTGCAGTAGAAATTGAGGCTGAACCAGAAGTTGAGCAAGAGGCTCCTGCACCACCTCCCAGTAAGAAACGAAGAGGGAGACCACCAGGCAAAGCTGCCACCCAACCAAAACAATCCCAGCGTAAGTCACTAATTGCAGCTCACCTTACACTGCTTGCTTGAGCACCTTTTCCTTTGGATTTGGCAGTTCTTGTAGGAGATCTAATCCCTTCAGTTGAGCTTATTTAAAAAGTAGATAATTGTACTTGTCTCTGTATTGCCAAAAACCTTGAAATTTGTTGCAAGGGTTTCCTGGTCATGAGGGAACCTGGCCACTTCAGACCATGCCAAAAAGAAAGGACATTATTTTTTTCTTCAGTATTATTTCATTTCATAGACCTGCCAACTGTTCACTGCTTCTGGAGCCAGTTGTGGTGTCTCTGCTGATGTACAGTTCCTGCTTAAGCAGCTGTCAGTACAGTCACTTTGGTGTTCCTACCTGTGTAGGCTTTGCAGGTATTGCCATAAATGAACTTGCTCCAGGCCTTTAGTTCTGAGCACAGGGCCAGTGCAGGTGTTGTTTCAACTCTACAGAGTTTTCTCTGTGATAGTAGACATCGTAACTGTGCAAAGTCTAAGTAAATAAATTAAAGGAACAAAGCAGGAAGGGTAAATGTATTCCTTTAAGGAGGTGGTGGCTTCCTCAGTGGCTTGGCTGGCTGCTCAGTGCTGTGAGGGTGTCCTTTCTCTTATTAGTCTGTAGAAGTATTTCATGCTGAATTTGTCATTAGTATCACTAGAATTGAAAGATTTGCCTTAGGCCCATACATTGATACGGAGGGGTTTTTGTTGATTACTCTGCAAAATCCATTGTTTTAATAATGTCTTAATACCAAAATGCACACTGGAACTGTGGTCCTGGGAGCACATCTTCATACAGGGGCAGGGAAATAGATGCTTTATGCTTGGGTGAGTGAGGTGGGTTGAATTGCTCCCCACTAATGTGGGAATGTGTGTTCCCTTTCCATGGAAGTGACTAAGTCTACCAAAAAGCTGTTTGAGGCCAGCTCTGGAACTAGTAAAATAATCTGGTTTACTCCCTCCCCCCCCCCTTTTCTACCCTTATAGCTGCAGCAATCATTCAGGTTGAAGACCAGCACACTGGTGAAATTGAAAATATTATAGTTGAAGTGAAGAAAGAGCCTGATGCAGAAACAGCAGAGGAAGAGGAGGAAGCTCAGCCTCCTGTAGTGGAAGCTCCCAATGGAGACCTCACCCCTGAGATGATTCTCAGCATGATGGACCGGTGATGGAGGAAGACCACGCTGGCTGACTGAACTGGCCTGGGCTGTGTTTAAGCGGCTCAAATCTATTTTTCCTTTTATCTTTTTTCTTGGCTTTGGGAAATGCATCATTTTAGACCATTTTACCAGACATACTGGGAAAAAAAAAAAACAAACGATGTTAGAATGTGATTTAACTAGAACTTGCTGTTTTATGTTAGCATTACAGGATCATGGAACATTAGGAAATATTTTGGAGTCCTTGAGGGTTTCCTGTGAGATGCTTGATTTTAGTTTTGCTCTGAACTTGCATTGTAAAGCTGGTCCAAGGGCCGTGTTTACATGCACCAAGTTTTAATATACAAAAGCGGAAGCCTTGACTAGAGTATGTGGAAAACCACTCCGGACTTGCCCTTCCAGTTCCCAGAGTCCTTGAGCCTCTTCTCTCAGTAGTGTTTTTAACTGTAAATGCAGACTTGGGAGGGTTCTAGACTTTTGAAATGTTTTTTGGGTTTTGTTTTTTTTTGTTTTGTTTTGTTTTTTGCTTTTTCCCACTGACTAGCTCCGGTTCTCCAAGTCAGCTGCACACGGTAGTTTTGGCATGCTCCAACTGGTTTCTGTCCTTAATATGCTTTGCTTTCTGCAAAGCATTTCTGTAATGGTCAAGCTTGTAAATAACTTTTTTTTTTTTTTTTACATTTTAATCTTTTTCCATTAATTAAGAGGTATGCAAAAATGCAGTTTAAAGAAACCCCAGTATTTTAATTCCTTTCAAACTAAGCGACAAGAGAATTGATAGAGTGTAAATGTTGAAAAAACTGTTGATAACGTAGGGAAGAGATGTATCCAGATTATTGCTTGCAGAATAAGAGAAACCCACACATGAAATCTGGTTTTGAAGCACAAAAACCTGCAATTTCCTAGAATCATAGACTGGCTTGGGTTGGAAGGGATGTTAAAGTCCATCTAGTTCTACCCCCCATGCCCTGGGCAGGGACACCTTCCACTAGCCCAGGTTCCTCCAAGCCCTGTCCAACCTGGCCTTGAATGCTTCCAGGGATGGGGCATCCACAGCTTCTCTGGGCAGCCTGTGGCAGTGCCTCACCACCCTCACAGGGAGGAATTTTTTCCTAATATCAAGTCTAACCCTTCCCTCTGGCAGTTTGAAGCCATTGCCCCTTGTCCTGTCACCCATGCTCTCCAGCTCTCTTGTGGGCTCCCTGCAGGTTCTGGAAGGCCACAATTAGGTCAGCCCAGAGCCTCCCCTTCTCCAGGCTGAACAACTCCCAACTCTCTCAGCTTTCCCTCATAGGAAAGGTGCTCCAGCTCTCTGATCATGTTTGTGGCCTCCCCTGGACTCGCTCCAACAGGTCCATGTCCCTCCTGTGCTGGGGTCCCAGAGCTGCACACAGGGCTGTAGGTGGGGTCTCAGCAGAGCAGAGGGGCAGAATCCCCTCCCTTTCCCTGCTGCCCACGCTGCCTTTGGGCCAGCCCAGGACACGGTTGGCATTTTGGGCTGTGAGTGCACGTGGCTGGGCTGTGTCCAGCCTCTCACCCAGCAGCACCCCCAGGTCCTTCCCAGCAGGGCTGCTCTCGATCTGTCACCTCCCCAGCCTGCATTGATACGGGGGGTTGACCTGACCCAGATGCAGCACCTGGCACTTGGTCTTGTTAAGCCTCATGAGATTCCTGTGTGCCCACTTCTCAGGCTTGTCCAGGTCCCTCTGGATGGCATCCCATCCTTCAGGAGTGTCAACAGCACCGCTCAGCTTGGTGTCACCTGCAAACTTGCTGAGGGTGCACTCGATCCCTTCATCTGTGTAATTAATGGAGATACTAAATAACACTGGTCCCAGTATGGACCCCTGAGGGACACCACTTGTCACTGATGTCCATCAGGACTCTGAGCCGTTGACCACTGCCCTCTGGATGTGACCATCCAACCAATTTGAAACATTTATAATTAACCTTCTTTTTGAGTTATAATTTCACGACTACATTTTCTTTGCTCTATCTTGTAGTTGTATTTTGTGTTTATGAATCCTATGTTAAGACAGAAGTGGTGATTTATAAGTGGGTCACTGCAGCCCTCAAAACCTGGGCCAGGAAATTTTATTAATAGGTCAGTAATTCTACAATTTTTGAATCTCTGATAAAGACAAAAAAAGGAATAATGTGAAATACAAATGATGCCTGTATATGAAAATGTCACATGTTAAAATATGTAAGCTTTTTATAGAGCCTCAGTCTTGCTGATTTCAAACAAATTTTTCTTCTATGTATCGCTTTTAAGAGAGCTATCAGTTTAGCTATCAGACTCTAGGTTGATGCATTTTTGTACTTAGCTGTACTGTGTGATATTTTTCATTATTTTAGGAAGCCAACATGGGGAAAAAAAAATACTGTTATAAAATATGTAATGGGGTTTGAAAGCTGGGAAGGAGAATATACTGCTGTACAGCTAATAAATAATAATGGATTAACACGTGTGCTCCCTGGCTGCTTTCTTTGTGTGCATCTACGGTGTGACCTGGCAGCCATCTCCAGATGGAAAAGCCGCTCTTCCCGGAAGGATGCTGCAGGGACTGGCTCCTCTCTGGCTGCAGGTGTTCCCTCTGCTCCGTGCTGAACACAAGGTACCTGTCCATGCCCTTAAATCGGGGGGTGATTCCCTGTGTGTAGTGGAGAGAGGATGTGAAGTGTGAACAATTGTGTTTTACAATTGAGCTCGGAGTAACTCGGGAGTTGATGTTGCTTCTGTTTGTTTTGGCTGTGAGTTTAAATGCTGATGGTTTAGTTAAGAGGAATTTCATTTCCATTTCATTCTGGAAAACTGGACTGGCACTTGGGTGGAGTGTCTGTGGTGTATTTTTTTAGTTGTCTGTGACAGCAGCTTAGGGAGCCAGCTGTAGGCAGTTGGGAAGCTGCACGCTGCAGGTTTGGGATAATACCTGGTACTGTTGGTACAGGAGTCACTGCAAATGACATTACTTAAAAAAGTGTAACAAGCATGAGAGTTGCTAGATTAGTTTTCACTAGATGTGTGGTGACCAGTTATCTCTGGTCCTGAAAGGTAGTCCTTCAGTTTGCTGGGAAAAGCTGCCTGGAGGTGGAACTCTGGAGTTCTTGGGCAGGTTGGAGCCTTGTTGTGCTCTAGCAGAGACCTCCCTTGGTCTGTGTGAGTGCTCCACGTGCAGCAGGTCATGCTGTCGTCCCCAGGTCTGAGGAACAATCCCTAAGTAACTTTTTGATTGTGAACTGCTTTTTGAACTTTCCTCAGAGACCTCAGCAAGGGTTTATTGAGGATGGGAGCTGTCACCCTGTGGTCATCCTCCTTTCTTCCCCAGCCTGGCGTGTTACCTTGTGATCTGCTCAGTTGACCTGGTTTCTCTGTGCTTGCTCAGTCAATAGCCCTGTTACGCAGGCTGGGTTTTATTTGATTTGAGCTGTGGCTCCTGCCTTGGGCAGGGATCTCTGCCTGTGTGCCTCTTGCAAGGCTTCTGGAGCTGTTCTGGAGAGATGTGGAGCAACATCCCAGCCTGCTCCTGAGGACACACATCCAGGACAGCACCCAAAGCCCACATATGGACAGAACACTTCTGGCTCAACCCCAGAGCTCTTATCAGTGCTGGAAAAGCTGTGTCCTGGGCTGTGAGTGAAAAGCCAGGGCTGGTATGGATCCAAGGAACATCACTGCCTCTGCCAGTTGCTTGGCCTGGCTGCCATCCCTGGCGCCTGGGCTGCTGTCCTGGGAGCCTGCTGGAGAATGGCGTCAGGATGGAGAGGGCTGAGAATCAGCTCTGTGTGGCTGCTGCAGCTGCCAAAGGCTTGGTTGGCTTCCAGAGGTTGAGAGCTCTGCCAGGTTAGAGGGACTAAATCCTCTTACATTATGAAGCAGAGTCCACAGCCAGACACAGGGGATGGGTTTCTCTGTGGGTTGCTCTGGACATCCTGATGTGCCTGGGCTTTCACAGAGGCAGGGAACACGTGCACATGGATGTCTTCCTCTGCCCCACTCCTGAGGTAGATGTTCTGATGCTCAGAATGTCCCAGCATGTGGGACCCAGTATTTTGGGGAATTAGCTTGGAATGCAGCTTGCCAGGAGCTCCTTTGTGCTTCTAAGCTTTGATAGGGGCCGTTCTGATGGGTGCAGTGGGGCAGCTCTTCTCTCGGTGTCCTTAATATCCTTGCACGACAAAACTGGGATGTGGTGCCCTTTCTGAGAAGTTCAGATACCGGTAGCTTGGCCTCCTCCCATCCTGGAAAAAACATGGAAGCAGACAGGACTGTTCCTGGTGGCCTCTGTCTCCACTGGGCGGTGAACACCCTTTGCCCTTCCTGGTGTTCATCCATCTGCTGACGTAGCTCGGGAGGCTTGAGGAGGTGCCTCGGCAGAGGTTGGTCCTTGCCCTGAGCCACGTTCTCCCCAGCCACGTCCTTGAGAAGAGCTGCCTTGTGTTGTGGTTGGGCTCTGTGAAGATGCCGTCCCTGCAGGGAGATGACTTCCTGCCTTCTCACAGAAGGTGGTTTCGGAAGTGCAGTGGCCCCAGGTGCACGTGGCAGGAGGGCAGCGTCACCCAGCCCTTCCAGGGACCACCCTCTCCTGAGTTATTCCACCCCTGGGAAAACTCAGTGAGTCCCTGGTTGGCAGATTGCAGCCTGGAGCTTGGACATTTGTCAAAAGGGGCAATTTAGGGGGAGAAGGCAGCTGGCCCCCTCCATCTCTGTGGATGCTGGTCACAGGGCTGCTGGCTGAGAGCAGCTCAGCCTGCTCCCTCAGAACCTTGTCCTGAGTCTCTGGTGGGGCCAAGCTGCACCAACAGCAGGAAATACTGAGTCCAGGGAAGTCCTGCAGCACTGCACGGGGCATGGGACAGCTTTCTGCTCTGTCCTGGAATGCTTTGGGCTTTTTGCCTGGTCCAGAGCCTTCCTAGGAGAGTGGAGTGGTTGATGCACTGAGTCCTGTTGCTCCAAGGAGGTCACCTGGCTTCTGCTTCTTGTCCTTGCTCTGGGACAGCAATTTAGTCACTTTGGCAGGGTGCCTGGGGTGTTTCTGCCCCGGAAAAGCCCTGCCTTCAGCCATGGGCACCGGCACCATCTCCATTAACTCCCCCTGCAGATTCCCAATGCAAGGTGATGGGGCTGGGCTGACCACCCGGTGCTGTGAAGGGCAGAGCTGCCCTCTCCCCACTCACCAGCGGTCTT